GGACAGAGGTTCATATTTACGGCTAAAGCGCCCCTAGTCGCGAGAAGGAGGGGAGGTGAAACAACCAAACGAAGGCACAACGTCGTGTATTTCGCTTTCTTTCTCACCCCATAGGATAAGACACAAATGAAGGACACACATTTCACATTTGCAAAAAAGTCTGTATGCGTAAATTGACATAAAAAAAAAAATTCAGAAAAAAATTCAGAAAAACATTAAGAGAAAAAAAAAAAAAAAAAAGGAGGACAAAGTGGAGCGACTTTTAACGAGTGAACTAATGACCGAACAGGTGGGGAAAAAAAGGCTCATACATAAACAGCCACTGCGCAGCAAACCGGTACGCAAGTGAATACACAAAAGACGAATGCTCCACATGGCATAACGCCCTCCGCCTCAACTCAACCTAGGGTTATTACATCCCCTTCTGCAACGCAAACCCATTTGTTGGTGGGTGACACACGGTTGTGTGCTGTTTACTACCTCCTACCCATAACTACTCGTGACTTCTTTGGTGTGAAGGCCCTCACCGGATGTCTACGCACCGGATTTGTACCCCCCGGTGTGTTGCCATACCCTTCACTCCTCCGAGACCTCATAGCATTACCATTTCTGCTCTGTCCAGTGCGTCCATTCTTTCGCACCACCCTATCTTCTCCCCTTGTGAACCTCTTCGTAGTTCTTCCTCTGGTTGGGATCCGTCTCCTCTGCCTTGGCATTGCCCGTGGGGAACCTCTTCTCCGTGGCCTCCTCCTCAGTTTGTCTCGTGCGCGCCTCCTTTGGGGATCTCGCCTCCTCCTACCATACCTCTCCCCCCAGTTGTCGTCTAGCTGTGGAGAAAAGGCATACCCTTCCATTTCATCTCCCCATGGGGAGGATGTCTCCCCGCTCCCATCCCCCCTGGACAAGCGTGGCGTGGGCCCCCCCCAGTCAGCGCGCAATAACTCTCCTGCTGGAATGCCCTGCGGCCAGTTACCATACATGTTATCTTCGTCATATGCAGGGCCATGCACGTGTTTAGTTCCTTTCCTCTGAGTGACCCAGTCAGCTTGGCCGTACGGACCGTCACCACTGTCTGTCTCATTCATTGCATGTGTACCCTGTTCATCCCACCTTTGTGTGAACCCACGTTCGCTCAGAGATCTGCGGTTCCGAGGGGCGGGAGGAGGAGAAAAAGAGGTACCTTCGCCAAATCCATACACATGCCCCCGTTCCTTCCTCCCATGCAGAGGCGGCACTCTTCCCTCATCAGTGGGGTGATCGTCCAAAAAGGAAAAGCCCAAAGGGAGACTCGACAGTCCACCTCCCGTGCCTTCATAAAGCGATTTTTGTTCCTCCTCCAGCTCATATACGTCCCCGTCAGTAATGTCCATACTAGTGTAGGTGGTGTCACGGGGGAAGTCTTCACTTAGAGCAGCCATCCCATAGGAAACATCCTCCGAGTCCAACCCGCGCAGCGTTTCACCTCCAATTTCCATCTCAATCTCTTCCATTTCGCCACTGTGTGGTGGGAATATGACTTCCTCTTCCAAACGGCTAGTAGTGTCTTCTGTCCCCTCCTCCGATGCAGCGTCTAAAGGTGGGGTCCCCTCTCCCGTGATGGCTTCACCAAAACTGGGCTGCTCCTCATCTCCTGACAATACACCCGCGAAGCTGCCACTTCCATCTTCTGCCTCCAGATCCAAGTCCAACTCCTCCTCTATAAGAAAATTTTTACAAAGTTCATTCCTCTCCTTTAACGTCGCTTCAATCACTTTGAAGAGCTCGATGTAGCCACCCCACTTGGACAGACCCTTCAGTTCACTGCTCCTCACGATGGACCTCTTCAAAATATGCCTCAGTCTCCTCACAGGCAACTTGGGGTTGACATTAAAAATCATCACTAGGGTGTTTACAAAATCGGCCGATGCGTACCCTGGTCCGTCTTCCACCATCCAGGAAGGGCTCCTCCCAAATGGAAAGGTCTTGCCATATGAGAAGCTAAATAGGGTTGTGTTTTCCCTCTTGTGTAATTGCTCCCCTTTTTGTTTTTCCCCCTTTGCATTGGCGGCGTTACCCGAGATGGGGACCAGCCCCCCCTGGGGAGAATTCCGCAGCGCACCCACGGAAAAGACATTTTCAAACATGTTCGCGAAGGAAGAGGGGTACATTATTTTCTGTGTGGAATAATCCTTTCTCTGCTCCTTTGTTGTGCCTACCTCCCCCCCTTCACCACCGTATACCTGCAAAGACGGTGACACCACAACAATTTCGGCCCGTGCCAACTCCTCCATGACCTCCACCAACTTCTCACTCTCCCCCTGCACATTATACCCGACGTGGATCACCTTGGCCGCCCTCTCTTTGCAGTGTTCTAAACATTTGATGAGAGGCATCAAATGGGAGTTCGTCCTATGCGTATCGCCAAACGCTTTACACACAATGAGTTCGACGTCCCTTTTGTACGTTTCCCTCTTTATCAGTACCTCCCTCCTAATTATAGTGTTTGCGATAAAGGTCCCATGCAAGTCTACGTCATCCACATCGCTAGATTCGCAGCGGGCATAATTTTTCTCGTTACACCTTTCAGTGTTTATCCCATCGTACTGAATTTCTCCCCCGTTTGCATACGCCCAGCTTGGGAAACTCTCTTCTTCACTCTGTTCCTCCACTTCTACATGTGCACCATATTCACCACCTCCATTTCGCTCCCTTCTATTATCACCCCCCTTGCTGTGTTCCCCCTTATATATTCTCACAAATTGTCCTACTACCTCATCATGTAGATCCACTCCTGTGTCAATTAGGCAAACGCGTGTCTTCCCGACGGACAGGTTACTTTGAACCATGTGGACAAAGTGCTGTTTAAATCTTCTAACTTTCTCATACCTTAAACACAAAATTTTATCATGTGATGTAATTCCTACGAGAGCTTGCATCGATCTGTACAATTTTTTTAAAAAATTGGAACTTCCATCGGTGTCGTCGCAATGAGGGATGTGGTAATTTGCGTCTGGAGTGACCCCCCCTCTCCTGATATTCCTATCGTGATTATCCTTCTGTTTTACATGAACGAAACTGGGAGTGCTCAAATTTTTGTTAGTATAATTGTGTAATGCATTTGGTAAGCTGCCAACGTGACCCTCTTGAAGGATCCTCCCCTTCATACTTCGCTCAAGTTCACTTGCTCTTCCGCACCAGTGGACTGTTACATCTCCACTAAACAGGAACAATGCAATGATGTGACAAAAAATTGTAGCAACCCCTACGTGGCCGTGTCTTTCCTGTGTAAAGAGCATTATGGCGACTATGACATGGGGTTACTGTTTTTTTTTTTTTTTTTTAAAATATCACCAAACAAAACGAGTGAAAGTCGGTATGCAAATACGGTATACGCCAGGAAGAAAAAAAAACAAGAAAAAAAAGAAAAAGACAGTCCTCCTTGTCCTACCCTTTTGCGATCTACTTTTCGATAACTTTTTTTTAATATGTCGAAATATGCAAATTCAACGTAGAAGTGTTGTCTTTTCACTTTTTGCAAATTAAAACGGTTTTTAATACTCTGCTGTTTTAAGAGTATATCTGTTGCCAATCCTTGCAACACCGCAGGATGAGCGAAAATGGTGTTTTTTTGTTTTTTTTTTTCTCATTCTGCTTCCTCCATTTTGGCTACTTAGCTAGCCATTTTTTTTTTTTTTTTTCCACTTTTTTTATGAACAGATATAAAAAAAAAAATGGCTAGCTAAGTAGCCAACTAGCTAACTCCATAGTAACAACACCAAACACGTTCACACATGAGTAGTTTGCCTCTTCCAGGGGGCGAACTCATTTAGGAGTTACATCCACGTAAAAACAAATAAATATGGTCCACCGTTTAATTAATTTATTCAAAGATTTCACTGTTTTTAAGAGGGTTCGTTTTAGACAGTGTGTGGGTGAGAAACTTCCAACATGTGGATAATTTCCAAATGGGGAATTATACCTTCATGTGGTAACTTGCCGCTACCCCGGGAGGGTGTTCCTCCTTGACTTGTTCACACAAAACTAACTACCACTGCGCATAAATTGGCAGACGTGGAAGGTACCTACGCCTAATTGGGGAAAACAAAAGTGCAGCTCATCCGATCGTGTCTCACTTGGCTTTTTACTGGTCACAGCTCTCTTTGCGCATATAACTAAAACGACAAAAAAAAAACTCATGCATATGTAGATACATATTCATGCATGTGCAGATACATATTTACACATGTGTGGATACATATTCACGCATGTGTAGATACATATTTACACATGTGTACACATATCAAACTTGACAACTGCGGCGCGTCATTTTGCGCACACATAACAGTTCAAAAAGTATGTGTATGGATAGTGGGTGTGTACTTCAATCGAGTTTGCACAACGCACCGAAGGAGCGGAACTCTCCCCCAGTTACAAGTTCCACTGGAGAGTCTCTTTCAGACAGTGCTGCTCATCTGGTTAGCAATTTGTTACTCATGATTGCTAACTCAGTGGTGACCAATCAGGGGCTGTTACTTCATGCACTCCCCAATTGTCAACCATCCTGAAGAGAGGCCCTCTGGTTGAACTCCACACACACATCACTATTTATAAGGACACGAAAAAAGCTTCGCAAAAAGTCCATGTTCACATTATCCTTGATGGTAAAAATAACCATCTGAAGGTTCTTCAAATAAACGTAATCCCCACAGGCCTTCACAATTTGTCTCAATTTTTTATCTTCTAAAAAGTTTAAGAAGAGGTCATTTATGTTGTATATCTTTGATGTCATGAGTAGACTATTGGAAGGAAGTTGCTCGAAGCTCATTTCATTTTTTATAATTTTTAATAACACTTGGTTGTTGCACCCGCCGTTGTTTTGTTCCCTTTCCCATAGTGTCTGTTGCGGAGACATCGAATGTCCTGGGGTTAGGTTGTACCCGGGGGAGGTCATGGAGAGCAGGGATGCCAATAATGTAAGTGTGCTGCACGGGCGGGTGTTCATGCTAATGGGTGGATAAATTTGGCGGGCGGAGGCTACTGACCGTCTCCAGTTGGTGCGATTGGCAACTTGTTCGAGTGCTACATTTGTTTAGCTAGCGTGTCTGACTTGGCTCCTATCTGTTCATCTGATTCGGCGTCTACTTGGGTACTTGACTTCCTCTTTACTGTTTTAATTTTTTTGCTTTTCCTCATCCCTCCCAAACGTTCCCTCGTGCAGGGGAAACTCTACCGCAGTGGGTCGAATTGCGCGTGCGCGGGGGGAGTGTAAGCGGCATTTGTGCACAGCGATTGTTCAGAGTCAATTTTGCGCGCCCCCTTTCCGAGTGGACGCACGCGCACACGTGCGTTTTACCCATGTGTGCACATACACACGGACGTTGTTGCGCAAATCTCCGCACGGTGAGAGGCCGCAGGACAATTGAACTTTCCCTGCATCTATGCAGCACCTGTTCCTCATCAATTTTTAAAATGTACATGAGAAGGAATTTTTTCATCCCTCGGAAGGTTCACTTCGTCGCTCCCTGGCGTGTTTGCAAATTGTGTTCCATTGGAAAAAAAAATAAAAAAAAAAAAAAAAAAAAAAACAGCGCTGTGCACACATGTCCCACTTTTTCTTTATACAGAAATGCGCGCCGCCGCGAAAGGGGGGACACAAAAGCAGAAGCACGTGCATTGGACGTTGACAAAAAGTTTCGAAGCGCGTTTACACGCAGGTACCTCCCAAACACCACGTTGCGTAACAATCGGCTGACAAAGTTTAACAGTTTTTACCTGAACATGTTCAGGCGAAAGGTAAAAACGGTAGTAAAAAATGTGTTGGGAAAAAAAAAAACAAAAAAGGTAGAAACAAATCAATGTTCAAGACGGAATAATCATAACAAATGAGGTATGACCCTGACACCCGTGCGAAAAGGCGCATCGGGGGAGGGGAGACAGCATGGCTCAATGTAGACGAGCCAAAGCAAGCACAAAAATATATTTGCAAAAAGGACACACATGTTTTGGCGCACGTTTGTGCGAACGGTTTGTCATGGTGTGGGTGAGCCCAGTTCGTAGCTTCACCACGATGAGCAAAGGGTTCGCCCCCGTTAATGGTGGGGGAAGCGCATCTGCTGCTTAACCGCTATAATGCTTAACCGCTATAATGGTTAACCGCTATAATGGTTAACCGCTGTAATGCTTAACCGCTGTAATGCTTAACCGCTGTAATGCTTAACCGCTGTAATGCTTAACCGCTGTAATGCTTAACCGCTATAATGCTATGCCGCTGCAATGATCTACCGTCCCATTGCTCCGCTTCTCATCTCGAGCGCTGCTTCCACCTGAACCAGGACTGCGACTTGATGTAGGGGGCCTCCTTGGATTCGATGGCGAGGTTGACGGCCCGCAGGATATCCACGTAGCCCCCCCAGGAAACCTTCTCCTTGAGCGACGGTAGCTTCACAATGGCCTTCTTCAATATCTCCACAATTTGCAGATAAGTCAAATTAGGGTTAATAGACCTAATGATGGAAGCGATTGCAGCGACGTGAGGAGATGCCATGGAAGTGCCATTCAATTTTCGATAATTATTCAAGGGGGTAGTAGAATATATATTTGTTCCAGGGGCAGCTAGCTGGCAATAAATGTTACTATAAAAAGAATTCGCTGATAAGGAATAAGTCTGATCTAAGTCTCTCTTCAAATTTGCAACAGCAATGATGTTATTATGTGAGGTGGACAATACAGGAGGATACCTAAAATTAACTGCAAGATCACATTTGGTGATGTCTGGCTTACTGTGTTTATCATGTGCACAGTTACTTGCTGAAACGAAAAAAAGAATTCCCAAGGAGCGTAAATACTCCACAGATGCATTAAAAATACCACTGTATTCATCGAATGAAAAACTACCATTAATCATATGTGCCTGTCTACTAATACAATAATCGATACATTTAAACATATCCCCTAATCGACCTAACTTATGTTGATCCAGTGCCTTACATATAATTAACTTAGAGTGTCCATCTACTCCTACTATCCCTATGCCATTATTACCAACAGCAGAAATTATTCCTGACACATGGGTTCCGTGATAATTATCGTCCATGGGATCACCACTGTTATTTACAAAGTTAGCTCCATACACATCATCCACGAGTCCATTATTGTCATCGTCTACTCCTCCTCTTCCATGTAACTCCTTCAGATTCAAATCGATGTTGTTCCTCAAGTCAGGATGATTGTAATCTATTCCACTGTCTATAACACATATCTTTGTCACGCTAACTCGATTTGCATTTATAAGATCCTGTGTTTCATCTAGCCTTGCCAGGTCTAATCCCCACTGCAGGTTCCTATACTCGTCGTTGAATTTGTAGCTCTTCGTTTTTCTCTTCCCTCCGAGGTACGCCTCTGTGTGTATGGACCCCTCGGACAGGAACCCATCATTATCGTCATCGTCGTAGTAACCATGGCTGCTGCTGTTGGTGCGGGTGTCTCCAGTCCTATCGCTGCCATTATATGCCTGGTGGCCATCCTGCACCTCCAACATGTTACTCTCACGTGTGTCGAAAAATAAGCGATTCTGTCCACGCCTAACTGCATCTTTTATAGATGCAACGCTGATGTCGTCTGCTCCAACCAACTTGTCTGATTCGATGAGGGCCCCTTTCCTCTCCAACATGCTAATATACTCTGCCAACTCCTCATCCGTCATGTCCTCATTCAGGTCGATTATTATGGACCTCAAATTTTTTAAATTAGATAATTTTCCTTTACTCTGAATAAAACTCATCACCTCTTCTTGAAGTAAAGACTCCTCAAAGAAGGAGGGACTTGTGGCATGGTTTTCACTCACGATTAATCGTAACGCTTTTTTTTTTGTTATTGGTGACTCGCTCTTTTCAGCATGTCCTTGTGGGTTCTTACGTAAGTGACTAGGTTCTTTCTCATGCTGCTCCTGCTCCCCCTCCCCCTGCTGCTGCTCCACCTGCTGCTGTTGGAGCTTTTCCAACTCTTCCCTCGGCGCATCCTTATCGGGATTGTATGCATTCACATCTGCCTCCACATCTGAAATGCTCATGTTGCTGTTCTCCAATATGGTTTCTACTTTTTGCAGGAACCGTAACTCACTTATAATTTTGTGTACATCGTCCTGCTCCTTCTTCCCCTCATCTGCCACGATGACATTGGCGAGGGTGTGCTGGATTAGCAGCTGCACTACCCATGGGCAGAGCAGCAGTGCTACTCTTAGCGTCAGCCCCATTTGCGCTGGATGTGAAAAGAGTTTACCACGGGGAGGGAGGCGGTACAAGACCGGGTTGTCCCAACTGGGGAACCGATCAGGTGGTCAGACGAGCGGACAGACTAATGCTTCCCTCCAACGTGAAGACTTCCAACCCGCGTGTCGCCTTTCTTAGCTTGTGCGGCGGTTAGGACAAGAAATGCAGCAACAGGGCGAGAAAAAAAAAAAAAAAAAAAAAAAAAAAAAAAATTCGATTTGCGCTAAAGTGCCGCGCTGATGTACATACACGTGGCAGAGCGACGCCGGTCTATATATGTATATGTATATATATATGTGTGCGTGTGCGTGTGCGTGTGTTTGCGTGCGCGCAGACAAGGGAAGGACTCCCGGACGTGATATATGTAGACCAGGCGGTGCCTTATTTAAATGGTAAAAACGAACAATCAGAGGTAACAAGCAGCGCGGAGGTTCTATACATCTCCTCACCAGTTGCCTCTTTTTATTAAGCAAATATAAAATTTACTAAAAATGACAGTCCTATTAAAAATTAATTTTTATGGTGTGTTATTAAAGGGGAAAAAAGCCAAGGCCGCGAAATGCGTCTAAGTGGCGTTTCTCTTCCGTTCCATTCTTGAAGAGCTGGTGTTCAAGTACGAGTGTGTCGCGCCAATGGTCATCGCAGTTACAAAAAGGAAAAATCAATGTAATAAAAAAACAAGGTAATTTATTTATTTTTTATTTTTTTTTTTTTTATATTAATTTTTTTTTTTTTTTGCCACACAAAATTCACATCTGTTTCTCTTCACGAACCCGCGAATCGTTAAAACAATTTCGTGTAAGAAAATTGGAACACGTTCAGACGAACCCCTCTCTCTAATTTCATTACACACGTTTATTAACCCCGAGAACACTGCATCTACCTGTTTCTTTTTTTTTTTTTTAATTGTCCACAAGTGCTTCATTACACAAAGGAGTGCACTTCCCCCTGTGCACAAATGTCTAGACGCGGGAAATTACCATGTGCAAAAAAA